TTATTTTGAGAATAAATAGAGAATTCACTATATTTGATGATTATGTGCGAATAAATGATTATGAAAACTTTCCAAATATATGATATACGATTATGTGTTATTGTGATTAATAGTAATCGTAATCTTTAGGAAATTTTAGGATGTTTTCATATGTTATATGTAACCTTTAGGGTATTTACATTAATTCTTTTTCTTTTAACTTTAGAAATTAATAGGATAAATTATTATTTTAGTATGAATAATTGAATTAAATTTATTTATTTAAATTAAGTTTTAACCCTTTAATGATAATAAATAGGAATAATTGAATTATTTAAATTATGATATCCTTGAATAATTATAATGATTGATATCAATATTAATATGATTAGAGCTTTATTGTAATAAATGTTTGAATTATGATATGATTTGAATTATCAAACAATAGTCGAATTTGGACTTTACTCTGATAGATATTTAAATTATCATAATGGATATGAGTTGGACTTTATATTGAATATTTGAATAGTTTGAAAAATTATGATGCCTTGAGCAATTGATATATTCAAAGAAGAAAATTTCAAATATGATAATTATGATATTATTGAATTTTCCTTATTGTATGTGATTGTAATAAATTAATAGTGGGAGGATAGCTTTGGGATGGTACCTCCCAAAGTGATGAACACAATCTTTGGGCTTTTATGCCTATGATAATTATGTGATGTGAAAAGAGAATATCCGTTCTTATCAAAGTGGTATCTGGCAGGATATCCGGGATACTAGTAGCAACTTTGGGAAGAGGTGTCTGGCAGGATATCCGGGACACTAGGAAGAGATGTTTTTGATAATGGCCAAATTATTGATTTGTGACTGGCAGGATATCCGGGTCATAGGGTAGACGGACATGATCTTCAGGTCTACCATGGTTCTCTTCCCACTAAATACAATGAACTTAAATATGAATAATAACGATATTTGATTTGATTATGATGAATATCATTGAGTTGTGAATATTTTCTTGGATGTAATATTATGATTAATGTTGTGCTGAATGTGTTAGTTGATGATTATCCTCATTAAATCCACTAAAGAAATTTAATAAAGATAATTTATAATAATAGATTTAATTATATATATATATGATGAATATTGAATTATTATTTGAGTCCGCTGTTATTTGATTCCATCTTTTATATTAAGTTATATATTAGTTTTTGATTAAGATTATCAGCTTTGCTGACTGTTTGTGATTATTTGACTGCAATGATCATGCGGCAGCGGGGGAGCAGATTTTCAGTAAATCAAGTTGCAAGGAATCGGGCTAGCAGTGGGCAGTGAGGATAACTACTCAGAGATTTATTTATTTTTTGTCAATCCTAAATTTTATGTGTAAGACATATCTCTGATTTTATTGTAATATTCATGAATGAGCCTTGCACTTGTCCCTGTACAGGTGCGGCGGTAACATTTTCCTAAATTAGTTTTAGATTAGCTTCCGCAATAGATACAAGATCTTAATAAATAATTAAATATTATTTTTATTTCTCTATTATAGGAATATTTTATTGTTGTTAAAATTGTTAGAAATTTGGGAGTGTTACAGGTTGTCTCAAAGACACCATTTGAGTTATTTAAAGGTTGAAAACCAAGTTTGCGACATGTACGCGTTTGGAGATGCCCTTCTGAAATTAGAATCTATAACCCAGAAGAAAATAAGCTTGAACCAAAGGCCATTAGTGAGCATTTCATTGGATATGTTGAAAGGTCAACCAGAATTATGGAATCAAGAAATGCTAAATTTCTTGAGAATGACTTGATTAGTGGGAGCGATCAATCCAGAGACTTTGTTTTTTAGAAAGACCATTCATTTGCTCAGCCGTCCACTTCAAGTTTGAGATTGATTATTGTTCACAATACCCCTCTAGCTCAACCAAGTATTGTACAACCAGTCATACAAGATCCACAACTTGCTGATAATCTAGTAGATGAAGTTGTTCATGAAGAACAAGAAAAAATGTTTATCAACTAGTTGAACAACAAGTTCCTCAAGAAGATAATGAAACAATATTGAGGAGATCTACCAAAATAAAAAATTGGCGATATCAAGTGACTTTTTTGTGTATCTACAGGAATCTGACTATAATATTGGAGCTGAAAATGATACTGAAGCGTTTTCACAAGCCATAAATTGTAAAAAAAATCAAATTTTTGGTATAATGAAATGAAAGATAAAATGAATTCTATGGCATCTAACGGAGTCTGAGATTTTTTTTCAGTTGCTTGATGGTGCAAAAGTCATTGGATGTAGCAAGTCTTCAAAACTAAGAAAGACTCGTTAGGCAACATTGAGAGATATAAAGCAAGACTCGTAGCCAAAGGATTTAATCAAAAGGAAGGAATCGACTACAATGAGACTTTTTCTCCTGTATCTAAGAAAGATTATCTTCATATCATTCTAGCATTAGTTGTACATTTTGACTTAGAGTTGCAACAAATGGATGTGGAAATGACTTTTCTCAATGGAGACCTAGAGGAAGAGGTTTACATGAAACAACCTAAAGGATTCTCCTCTAGTGATGGTGAGCAATTGGTATGCAAGCTTAATAAATCTATATATGGATTGAAACAAGTCTACCGTCAATGGTATTTGAGATTTCATGATGTTGTCTATTTATTTGGCTTTGTAGAGAACATCATGGACCAATGTATATACCGGAAGGTCAGTTGGAGCAAAATTTGTTTCCTTATTATGTATATGGATGATATTTTACTTACAACCAATGATAAGGGTTTGCTATATAAGGTAAAATAATTTTTCTCTAAACTTTGATATGAAGGATATGGATGATGCCTCTAACGTTATTGACATCAAAATACATAGAGACAGAATAAGAGGTGTTCTTGGTTTGTCTCAATAGACCTATATCAACCAAGTTTTGGAAAGATAATGTAGCTCCCATTATGAAGGGTGACAAGTTTGATTTAAGCAAGTGCCCGAAAAATGATCTTGAGCAGGAACAAATGAAGAACATTCATTATGCTTCAGCTGTTGGAAGCCTTATGTATGCTCAGTTCTGCATAAGACCTGATATTGCTTTTGCGGTTAGAGTGTTAGGGAGGTATAAAAGTAATCCAAACTTAGACAACTAGAAAGCTACAAAGAAAATGATGAGATACCTTCGAGGGACTAAGGACTATATGCTTATGTAACGACGAACTGACAACTTGGAAGTGATTGGCTCCTCAGATTCAAACTATGCTACCTACATTAATTCGAGAAAATCGACTTCAGGATAAATTTGTTTACTAGCCAGTGGAGCTGCATCATGGATAAGTGTCAAGCAAACCTTGACTACTACTTCCATTATGGAGGCTGAGTTCGTTTCTTGTTTTGAGGCTACCTCACATTGTGTATGGATGAGAGGTTTTATTTTTGGGCTTAGAGTTATGGTTTTTATATCTAGGCCATTAAGGATATATTGTGATAATTCAACTGCTATTTTTATGGCTAAGAATAACAAAAGTGGTAGTCGAAGCAAGTATATCGACATTAAGTATCTAGCCATAAGAGAACATATTAAAGATAAAACAGTGGTTATTGAGCACATTAGCATTGAGTTAATGATTGTTGATCCTTTTAACCAAGAGCATGCCACCATTTAAATTTGAGGATTATGTAGAAATGATGGGGCTTGGTTCATTATAAGAATGGTATTATGAAACTCTATTTGTGATGTTTTTCATTCAGTTATGATCTACAATTATTTATTCTAAGAAAAATCAATAAAATTTGGACATAAAATAAACATTGGATTTATTCATTAAGTTAAATGGACTTGAGAAATATAATGCAGTAAAATACATGGAAGATAATACTCGTACATATTAGAGGACCTATCGCCAGGATTCATGTATTTTGTTTCTCACTATAATATATGACGAGATATGTGGACCAAATGAGAGAATGTTAATGTGTCGTCATTCTTGGTAACAAATTAAGAATAAGTCAAAGATATGGTAAACACTTTTTCAGCCGCAGTCATCCACAACGATCAAAAAATCCTAACAGCTCGTATTTTGTACACATCACTATTAACTGACACCTTGATAATAAGGGTCTATATATGATGTGACTTCAAACTTTTGGGGTCCCTAAACTCACTCTTGGATTATTGTTATACATCATCTGTGAGCTAGAGCTTCGAAGACTCAAACTACTTCAACCTATTATAGGAAAGCAAACAAAGAAAGCAATGGCAGGAGGTATTTATAACATAATTTTTTACACATTTGATCTAATTGCTTATGTTATATATGAGCATGATAAGATCATAAGGCTATGTTAGAATTTACATTCATAACCATTTTCAGTCTTGTGAATCCCATAATTGTACAAGACTGCATCATCAGGAAAAATCATGCATGTGTGATATATGTGAAGGAGACACATGTAATGAAAGGCCAACAGCACAACATCGTACTCTGAAATACTAAGTGTGTTTAATCTTATCTGACAATTATTTGTAACGAATAAGGTCATTCGGACATGCCAGAACAATCACTTAATAAGTTCAAACTATCTCATGTTCCTGCTTACCTAGATAGATGGTTTATATTAACATTGGTATGCACTCAAATGTGAAGATACTTACATTTTTTATTTTTTTTTTAAATACTAATTTATCGATTATAAATGCAGAGAATTGATTAAAAAAAGAAAAAAAGAGAGGAAGGAATAAAGTGTAGGTGAGAATGAACGAGGACAGGGAGAAATTTTTTTGGTGCTCCTTTATATTAAAAAGGAAAATTTTTAGAATTTAAAAGAAAATATAAAAGAATATAGAAATTCTTTTTTTAATAATAATAGAAAAAAAACACGAGTTCCGTGCTCTCGGAGCACCAAATTTTTCTCGTGTACAAGGACAAAAACACAGAAGACAGTGTTACTTGTCTGTACTGGATAAAAAACGACAGAAAATGATTCTGTTGAACATCACAAGCGTATACATCTTTGTGAAGTAACAATAGCCACATATGCTTTTAATATATACTTTTTAAAAAAGTTTATCAACAATAAAACAAAATAGTAAATTTCGAGATTCGCACCGGCAGAGTTATCTCGGGAGGCCTTGTTTATTTCATTTGGATTGTATCTTGTTTGTACTATCAAATCGATAGGATCAAAGCATAATTGGAGAGTACCTTCAGAACGGCTTGGGCAGGTATCCGCATAATGCTTATTTTCAACTTTATTTGCAATTTATTATCTTTTTTTATTTCATCCACTGGATGATTTGTTCGGCCTTCTCATTCCTTTGTTTCTATATATATGATCATCTAACAGTTATTATTATTTTTCCTGTTATAATCAGTGTTCTTACCCCATTAATTTGTTTTACTCTGCATTTACATGATTAATATGAACGAACTTAGATATACGGCCATATTTTTAGGGAAAATGGGAGCTGAGCCTGTTAATGTCAGTGAATTCCAACGATTGGCGAGGGAGGCACTCCCAAAAATGTATTATGATTTCTACGCTGGTGGAGCTGAGGACGAGTTCTCACTAAAGGAAAACGTGGAAGCGTTTCGTAGAATAACGTAATATCCTACAATTAATGTTCTGATTCTGCTAATAGGATTTGGGATATGCTAAAAAAATTTCCGTGGGGTGGTTTGTATTTTCAGCTTAAGACCTAGAGTTCTTGTGGATGTAAGCAGAATAGATATGTCTACCACTGTGCTAGGCTACAGTATTTCCTCTCCAATAATGATTGCTCCAACTGCTATGCATAAGTTGGCTCATCCAGAAGGTTTGAATATTCCTGAAAAAGAAAATAAATAAATAAATAAATAAATTGAGATTCTCCTTCTCCTTAATTATGCATTTAACATTCTTCTTTTTACACATATTAATTATTGTATTCTTTGTCGTTTTTAACTTTAGGAGAGGTCGCCACAGCTAAAGCTGCAGCTGCATGTAACACCATAATGGTATTCATAAAAGTTAAAAAGAAAGCCTCCCCCACTTGTCTCATCATACTTGTATTCTGAAATAAAGTTTTTTGTTTTAGGTTCTGTCTTTCATGTCCACCAGCACAGTGGAGGAGGTTGCTTCTAGCTGCAATGCTGTTAGGTTCTTCCAATTATATGTATTCATTCCTCTTGACCTTTCTTATTTGATTCCTTGTTTTATTTTATCCAGTGCAACATAATTTTATCATCTCATTTTCTTTTGGAATATCATTTTTTGAATTTGAGATTATAACTCAAACAGGTTTACAAGAGGCGAAATGTGACAGCTGTATTGGTGCAAAGAGCAGAAAGAAATGGATATAAGGCCCTTGTCCTAACTGTTGATGTTCCAAGACTAGGTCGAAGAGAGGCAGACATAAGGAACAAGTAATATACGATTTTTGTAAGAATTGAACTTAATAATAATTGTGCTTCTCAAAAAGTTACAAAACTAGTTTTTGTTAAAAATAAAAATAAAAACTTATTTTAAAGTATTGCTTTAGGCCACTAATTCTCATAAACTGCCTCTGCTCATAACATTGTTGTAATGTCCTGTGCAGAATGGTTTCACCTCAGTTGAAGAATTTTGATGGCCTTGTTTCAATTGACGTCGAGTCAGTGAGTAGTATAAACTCAATATTAAGCACATCTCTATCTTTTATAGTGTGTTTATTTATTTATTTGGAGTGGTTCGTCTATGATATTTCCTGCTTCGTCATGTAGAAGTAGAATGCAATGCATTAAATATCCTTCCAAAAATAAATATTCTCTCTTTAAGCAGCATAAATGCATAATTGCTTCATTAAAGTCCTAAGAACATTGTAGCTGCAGCAGGATTTCTGTCCAATGTAGATCAAGGTATTTAGAGGATGAAGTAGGGTAAGTAATTGGAAATTTGGAGCCAATGAGGGTTGCTAAACTGATAGAATCTGTAAAGAACCTTGGAATAAACCACCCCAAAAGCTAGCTCAAAGGGTGGGAGTGCCCAAGGCCTTATAAACTCCACATTAGTTGCTCATACAACCAATGTGGGACCATATATCTCAACACGCCCCCTCACACAAGAGCCCACTGGGCTTGAAGGGTGGACAATGCACAGGCCCAACTACCTATGCGAAGAAAGAAATTCCACCGGAAAGAAAGTGGGGGGCAGCGAGATTTGAACCCAGGACCAGGACACGAGGCTCTGATACCATGTAAAGAACCTTGCAATAAACCACCCCAAAAGCTAGCTCAAAGGGTGGGAGTGCCCAAGGCCTTATAAACTCCACATTAGTTGCTCATACAACCAATGTGGGACCATATATCTCAACAGAATCAAACAACGCAACCCAAAGATCTTGGCTTTGATTCCTAAGCATACGCAGATGCTTGGGGCACCTTCCCCCTAAACTTCTTTTTTACAAAAATACAAAATAAATAAATAAAATTGTTGGGACTAGGCCTGGTTGTTCCAGATAGCAGAACATAAACCACTCTCTGTTAAATCCGACTAGCGAGTGTGGGGTGGAGGAAATCTTTGTACGCAGTCTTACCCTTGCATAATTGCAAAGAGGCTGTTTCTTGGAGTCGAACCCATGACCTTTCAGTCATGGAGGAACAGTTTTACCACTGCTCCAGTTCGCAAATAGCATAACATAAAAAAAAAAAAAAAAAAATCAACCAGACCAGATCTCTCCAATACGAGGTTATAAAAGAGGCATTCTGTATCCCCAATTTATAATATCCTGTTTAAGCTTACTCCAAATGATCATAGTTTTATATGTAGTACGTGCATGTTTGTTCATAAAAACACATCAATACATGCTCTGCATGTTTTTATGTTTAAATTGAGTAAATGCATGCATGTGCACGTGTGCTGCATGATTTTGTCCCGGAAATGCTGTCACCTGTTTATAATTCATAGACCGGATTTGTTAAACTTGTTTTTGAATATGCAGGATAACGGTTCAGGCTTGGAATTTTATGCAAGTCATACATTGGATGCATCCTTTTGCTGGGAGGTGAGAACATTGTCATAGCTCCTCTATATATGTTTCTTTTAGCTAATGTCTTAGGAATTAGGGAACAAGCACTATTACATAAAATGGCCAATAAGAAAACGCTACTATTTACTGAAGGCAAATTTTCTTTTGTGGGAAGTACATTAATGTATGTTCTTTGATATGTGTTCAATATATGTGTTCAATGAATTTTAATGAACTTACTTATTTATTTTTAAAATAACCATTACTGAGGATATTTACTTATGACTGGCGGGGACTGATACAAATAGTATGTTACTAATCTTCAAATTCATGGCAGTACACAACCGATTAAGCTTTAAACTGAAGTAATTTGTTAACAAGAAGACTCAACTCCACTTTTATAATGCCAGAAGGCTTGGGCAGTCATATATTTCTTGTAGCCGTTCTACTTGGATTCTAACCATTTAACCTCTCAACTCCCTTAACACTGGATTCTCATTGGTATCAAGGAAGTAAACTTATCCACAAATATTATGATCTTACTTTCCAGCTAGAGATAAAGAATTTGACCAGGTTTAGAACATGATACAAAAATGTAAACTGTGCAACTGGTCATAACAGAAATGATTGCAGTGATTTTGTCTAGTTGGTTGTCTCGTAAAGCTTATAAGTTTACACTTTCGATTTAATTGCTGGATGGTGCATGTCTAAGACTTTTGTTTCTGTTTTTTAACCGGATCATCATGATGTCTGCAGGATATAGCATGGTTGAAATCCATTACAAAGTTGCCAATTCTTGTCAAGGGTATACTTACGGGTGAAGATGGTATGTAGAAGGCTTGAGTATTTAACTTGTTTGATGCAGTAGAGCATTGGTGGTGCTATAACTTTCAAAAAAAAAAAAAAGAGTTATGACTCACACCATGAAAGTTCCGATATGAGATGCATTCATATAGTTTAATGGGTGAAAGCTTTCATTCTAGGTAGTAGTTTAAATATATGATTGCTTATGATAAATATGTACATGATGAGTCTCTTTTACTCTTATAAGCCTACAGCAGACAATATTTTTCCCTTGTTATTTAAGAATTAGAAAGATATATTTTGAAAATCTCATAATTCAATGCCAGAGAAAAATTCTTTTGTTAGTTAATTATTTATGGGCAAAAGTTTATTCCCCAATGCCGGTGTTTACGTTCTTTCTTTGTTGTTAATTCATTCTTAATGATTGTTTCTAGAGCTGTTAAAGATCTAAATACCATTAGTTACTATATAATGGACTTATGTTTGCAGCAATTAAGGCAGTGGAAGTAGGTGTTGCTGGTATAGTTGTTTCAAATCATGGAGCTCGCCAGCTTGATTATTCTCCAGCTACCATTTCTGTCCTAGAAGAGGTGTTTCTATCATTTCTATACATGCTTTTTGTATCATTAAATTAAGTTTGGACCTTGTTATCTGCAAAAGCTTAAGAATTCGTTATTGAGCTACTATCACCCTACTCTATCTTCCAGATCATGTGTTACCAAATCATTAAAAGAGTTCTAATATGATAAATTTGAAAATAGTTATTATCATAGTTCAATACGGGGATTTTGAAGTAAATAATAATGTATTTTCTTTCAATTATAACATAATGTGAAATGTTGTGTTTTTGTTCTATACACGAGCACCTATGGTTGCAGGTGGTTCACGCTACTAGAGGAAAAGTCCCTGTTTTATTTGATGGTGGAGTACGGCGAGGAACAGATGTGTATAAGGCGTTAGCACTTGGTGCAAAAGCTGTACTTGTAAGCTCTCAAGTCTCAACCTAAATAGGCAAATATTAGTCAATCCATGAACAGTTACAATATTTTGCTGACAACAATCAGCCACTAAACCTCAATCCCTCATGCATTTCTGTTCACTGCTTTGTTTTAGTGTTACTATCAGTTTTTGCAAAAGGCATCTTTTGGCTGACATAAGACTAAACTAAGCCTCTAGCCTTGGTCATTGTTTTTCTTCGCTTCTCTAAGTTGATTATCTATTCTTTCATTTTATTTTTGTGGGTCCCTGAATGAATTCCGTTATGAAAGGTAAATCTTCCCCCGACCTTAGAATGGGATTACTTCTCCTACCCCCAAACTTTTTTTTTTAACAAAAAGAAAAAGAAAAAGAAAAGGATAAGGATAACTCTACCCCTTCCCTCAAACTCTATTCTAACTTTTCTGGTGGTCATACTTGATTCCGGATTTTTGTGTCCTCGGCGAAAAGCTTTACCGCTCGAGGCTATCAACATATATGCCATAACTAGAGAAAAGTTTACAACTTGTTTAACTCCTGGATTTTGGAGAACAAGGTACCAATTTAGTGATCACTAGTTTATTTCATTCCTAGAATTACTATGACTTATATGTAGTTTGCTGTGTGTGTGTTTATATATATTCTGAATAATAACCGGGATTGCTGCAGGTTGGAAGGCCTGTAATATACGGGCTAGCTGCAAAAGGGGAAACTGGGGTGAGACAAGTCATAGAAATGCTGAAGAATGAGCTTGAACTCGCTATGGCTCTATCTGGGTGTCCAAGTGTGAAGGATATTACTAGGTCCCATGTGAGAACAGAGATAGAGAGGCTTCCCTCCATGCTTTAGGAGTATTGGAATGTTCATATCACATACTTTGATCATCAAATACTGCTTTGCGTTGGGCCTTGATAATTTATTCTGATGGCAGCCCATCCATAATCCTTAAGAAGTCCAAGTTGGGGTCTTTCTTTCCTTCTTCTAGTTGTGAACGAGTTTCTCTTACTTTCATGACCAAAAATTGTTGTCTGCCACATCCACTGTAAGTCTGTAACACAACAAATAATTGATAAAAACATAAATCAAAATCAGATGTATGGATTATCTTAGAAACAAGTCAACGACATCTGTGTTTCAGGACAAGTTGCGTTTCGTTGGGGGAAGTATAAAATACTGTTAAAGTTGGTAGGAAATTATCATGAAGGAATGTCATTTTGTGGATATTATTTGTGGATGTCAAGGAATTAAACTTATCCGCATGGTTGTCTCCTAAGCCCATAGCAACAATAAAAAGTTCGTGACAACAACTGTTCAAATACAGGGATATGAACACTTGGGATAGAGAGTAAACAAAATTCATTAACCGCCCTAAAGCAACCATAGGCATACTAGGTCTTTTGGACATTATGAAATTAATGCGTTTTGAATGAGCTCGGACAACCCGTATTTCTACAAACACTGAAGAAGCACCGAGATCAACTTATGAATGAGGCCTGTTTTCATGAATTAGAACATCAACTAAAAGATCCAAGAATATTAGAGGGCAAACTTTTAGAATAGCGACCTATATTAGCAACGAAATCATCTATGCAGTCTGTGAAATTTGGTTCACCAGTAGCAGCACAAGAAATCATAGGACTTAATGTTTCTCGTAAAAATATTGTGGAGTTTGTAAAGAATCAATTCAATCCAAAAGCTTAAGTTGTTGGGTGAGGTTACGTTAATGATTTTATATATCTTCAACACGTCTCCTCACACGAGAGACCACTGGACTTGAAGGGTGGACAATGCACAAACCTACCAACCAAGAAATTCCACGGTGAGGATCGAACCTGAGACACGAGGCTCTGATACTATGTAAAGAACCAATTCAATCCAAAAACTTAAGCTCTTGGGTGAGGTTATGTTAATGGTTTTATATATCTTCAACAGAGTTCATTTTTTGTCTCTTCTCTTCATATAACCTCACATGGGTCTCATATATTTTTATGTATGTATAAGATAATTATATAACTTTATCTTTTACAACATCAGAAACATCAAATCCTTAGAATCAACATAAAAACAAACCGCTTAGCCATAAATGGAACCTTTGACCTTTAACCTAAATTAAACTTTACATCATGATCGATCAATAGCAGAAATCAACAATATAGGTAGTGGCCGAGCCACATATATTAGGTGTGGCATTGGCCTGGGCAAATTTTAACAAATTATATTTATTATATATAATTAAATAATTAATTATAATTTGACTTGAGTTAAAATTATAATTTGGCTCGGACTACAATTTGTAATTTTGTCTTATCTAAAACTTAAAATATTTTTGGTAAGAGATTCGGATAAGTTGTATTATGTTATGTGTTCAATTTTCACTTATATAAAAAAATATTTTTAATAAAATTAAAAAATATTTAATAAAATTATAACTCTTCTTGTTACTGTCTGCTCAGGTGCTCTATATTTAATATAATTTAAATGAAGAAGGTTATATTGACAAATTTTTTATTTACAAATTACACTATATATTCTCGGAAGTACACTAGGTTACACTATGTACTTCCGCGAGTGTACTTCAAGAAGAATATAGTATAATTTGCAAAAATTTGTAATAAAAATTTATAAACAGATTCTTCCTTAATTTAAATATATTATTATATGAACTAAATAAAATTAAGAAAAATAAATACACATATAATTTTTTTGACTCGGGCTCAGATTTTAGCCCGCTCCGCCGCTGAATACAGGCAGCTTCTTGGCATGGAAAAAATGTTTTTGGATGCGCGTGAGCAGAAACAGAGTGGTGCCTCCCATTGTTGATTCCAACTGCCACCGCCTTAAAACTAGAGAGCGAGGTTTTTCAGACATTGCTAAAGAACATGACCTCAAAACGTGGGAAAAGACACACCAAACGAACTCCATAAAGCCGTAAAGTTTCTTTGCTTTCTCAGAACATTTTAATGATATTTGGGTAAATTACACTACGTGAGTTCATATTTTTATTGAACTTTTGGCTAGAACTATTGTAATTAAGCCATTAGAGCTTATGGTTGTTGGTTGTTTGAAATTTATTAGGTTACGCTAACCTGGATTAGACATTAACCAAAGGATGTCCAATGCTAAATCGACAAAACTAACATTGTTCAAACACGTTAGCCTCCAAAGACTTTAGAATTATAAAGACCTGCTTATTAGAATCAAATTGTTTGAAATCTTGAAGGGGGGAAAATTGTCGAGAAGGTTAATAATTCAATTTACTTTCAACTCATAATTCAATTTACCATCCCAACAATACGGGGAGGGGGGGAGCAAACTAATCGCCAGCATGTAAAATTAAACTATTAGTTACATTCAAAAAATAAAAAATAAAATAATATCATGCGCATAAGTATAACTACTTGGATATTTCTGAAACTAATCAGTTTCATTAATAACCTAATTGGATGACGAGCTAGATTCCTATCTATAAGTTAAGGTCAAAGTGTTTGGAACGGCTTCCCTCGTGATTGGGACAACTGTTAATTTGATAAGGTCCTCTAGCAATCACCCTGTAACAATTAATAATAATTTATTAGTAAACAATGAATTGAGCAACAAAATAACAACCCAATATATGTACATATAACTCCTTATTACCTTTCTTTCCTCTTCTCAAGAAACTTTAATAATGAAACTCTTCTTGGATATCTCATATCTGTTTGGCGAAAATTGTAATCCAAAATTAGTGTATGAACTTGTACATGCTTCATTAATTACTCCTATTCAATGTCATTTGTTCGTGAGAATAAAAAGGGAATAGATATATATATACCTGAATCAAAAACTTGGGGTCCTGGACAAGGATTGCTTATTAATTGAGGTGCCTTGATCACGTTCAAATTTTCATGATTAACGGGAACTCTAAAAGTATGTTTGTTGTTGACAGAATCATCACAGGCAAGCTTGGTGGCTAACTCCATGATTTCCGTTGCCTTCTCAGGCGGAAAAGCATCAAACACTAGCACTTTCCCGGCATAGAATATTGTCAACTGGGGAGTTTCAGGGACAGGTGACCTACATTCAGAGAAGAAAATGTTATCTAAGAACAAGAACATATGAAGTACAGGTTCATGATCAAATGGAGGTGAAATAATAGGTATTGATTAGTCATGGCCATGAACAAAACATATCTAGGTCGTACAAATGATGTTTTTCCTTGTACAAAACAAACCCCAAATCACAAGGTTTCCCCAGCTTATCCATTTCATATTTTCGGTGAAAGCATGGGTATCTCGGTAATTTCAGCAAGGCTCAAACTTTGGAAAGTCATTCGCTTTCGTTTGTGCATAGAGACTAGAGAGTGCAGAACAATTGCAGAAATTAAATTAATCACACACACACACACACACACACCTGACGTTAGACTGCTTAATGCAAACGTTTTCCACAAACCGGGGAAGGAAATCCGTAACGGAAACACATTGCGGCGAAGCATCATCCGAATTTCGCACCTTGGTTAACAAATCCAGGGTAGTTGCTGCAATTTACAAAGCCAAACAAACAAAAAATTTAACAGGCAATTTTAGAGAATTTTTTTCAGTAATTAAACTAATCGAAAAACAGTCACAAAAATGTTCAGTACCAAATCATTAAATTTGACTCAGAAGAAACACACTCCTTAAAAAATAGAAAACACAAATGGCAAATAAGCAAAGATTGTACCTTCGGCCCTCATTCCAAGGCTAGGCTTCTCCTTCAAGAACTCGTCGGCATCAGGGAAAGTCGACATTTTTATTTGAATTCTGACTTAGAAATCTGATTAGAGTTGGATAATAACGATCTGTTTGATTCTTAGGAGCGAACACTTTTCAATTTATTGATGGGAAAAGGTACTTTCCGAATAGCTGACGGACTGGGAAAAATGGGAGAAGACAAGACAAGTAATTTCCTAACTAAGCATCTTTGATTTTGTCTCACCAAAACGTCCGCGCCATGTGCTCTTTATCTTTGAATTTTTCTATAAAAAAAAAATATATATTATAATATAAATTATTTGTTCGGGCAAGGCACGTGTTTCTTGTGAGCGAAAAACAGGCAAGCAAAATTGTTCAAACTACACGGCTTCCAATGTGAGTCAGTGCGAGTTGGCTGAAAGTCCAAATGTTGCTAAAAACCAAATTATGATTTACCACCTTTACTTTGACCCTTCTTCAAAACTGCTATCTTGTACTTTTAATTAAATCAATTTTCTTAAACTATATCATTAAAATAATTAGTATTTTTATTAAGGAGATATTCAATTCCATTAACAATGTATTTTTCAAAATTATTTATTTTATTATTAGTAATTATATTTTTATAATTGATTTTCTTCTCTCTCCTTTCTTGCCCTGACGTTTTTTTGATAACGAGTGAAAAATTTAATATGATATTTTTTAAGACGGTATAAAATAGAGAAAAATACAAAGGCATTAAACGTACATTAATAAAATTTGTTAGCCTTCATTTATTTAATATTTTTTTATTTTCTTTCTCTTCGCGTGACTTTGAAAATATTTTTAGTATTCCTATAATGTTAAAAACTTAATATTTTTAACAATTGATATATATAAATATATATATACAGAGAATAACATGTGTCATTTTAAAGGATATAAACTTATATCATTTTAGATCTTAACTGTTGATATCCGTCCATCAACGGTTATAATTTATTGAATTAAAATTATTAATTAATTAATAATAAATTTGGCTCATTAAGTTTGACCTAATAGATTATAATCGTTGATAGACAGAAATCAACGGTTAGGATTTAAAATGATATAAATTTATATCTTTTAAAAAGATAGATGTTTTTTTTTTCATATATATATATATATATATATATATATATATATATATATATATATATCAATTGTTAAATGGTGAAAAGGAGGTAAGTACAAAGGAGTTTGTGGGATTCATGTCTGTTACAATGTGGATCAAGATAGTTAAAATTAATTTTTTTATTTAAAAATTGAAGTGGATAAAAAATCGTAAATATAAATTTATATTGAACAAAAATCATTAAAAAAAACACTTAGAATATTGATAACAATATTTTGATGAAAAAAATAAAAAATATAAGGTAAAAGTACAATTTTAAAACGAAATTTTAACTATCATCATCGGGACTCCTGCAGTCCTGGGAACACGTGATGAATAATCTTTTATTTTTATGGCCGTACCATTATGCATTTTTCTCAACTTTTCATGCAGAAAAGGTTAAACTGTAAATACTTATTCTTTTTTGTTTTTATTTCAAATACATTTTGGGACGACACCTGATAATCCCGCGTGGGCGGTATTAGTCCCACCCAGATGAAATATGGGATTTAATTACAAGACAAAGAGGAGGTCGGGGAATGATTGTTGGTGCGAAAATATATGGACAAGGAGTTGTTCTTGACAGGCTTTCAGTAGTGGATATGGGTTAAATGCATGAATGAATCGAATCGACACCCGAAAGAGAGGGATCTCAAAGACTGTGCACAGTTTGGGATAGCTTATAAGAATTAATTGGTACTACCTATACTAACAAGATGCATCTACTTTTCAGTAGCTTAGAACGGAAGAACTCTGTCGTTAAGTGTGCTTGACTTGTAGAAATTATGGGATAGATGACCTACAGGAAAATTTTCTCAAAATGTGTGCGAGTGAGGAAAAAGCACACTGAAAAGTCTCCCAATACGGTGTGGTTCGAGGACGAACCAGGCGGAAGCTGGTGGGCATATAACATCCCGAGCACTGACGAGGGCCGGGAGTAATCGTCGATGCTAAAGGGCATGGACAAGGAGCGGCTCCTGACAGGCTTCCAGCGGAGGGTTACATGCATGAATGAATCAAATCGACACCCGAAAGAGAGGGATTCCAAAGACTGTGTGTAACACCCCGTATATATCCGGTAGTATTATCGTTACATCGTATTAAGCTACACTTAATTAAAAATGCGAAATATTCTTTTTCTTTTCAATTATGACGTCTTTATCAATTACCAACTTGATTACTTAATCAATTTTATAAAATATCGCCTAAAAGTAAATTGCAATAAGACATCTACTGAAATACCTCAATATATAAATAAAGTGAGTATCTAAGTCACGGCATTACTTCACGTAATCCGGACAATATCCTGATACATTAATACAACTCTAATAAAAGTAAAACATAACAAGTCTACGTGGCATGGACAATCCTCATGCTCACCAAATCAACAGCGTCTCAACAAGATAATTCAAAATCATAACATGAAGCAAAAGCATAAAAACAGCAAGCATATCCAGCATCCAACATGTCAGCATATAATGTCATCACTAGCTAACTCAGCTCTGGCCTCCTGCCGCCTGAGGTCTCAACAATACCTGACCCTGAAATAAGCATTCCCCAAACGTGGGGTGAGATCTCTAAACAAGAAATCTCAGTAAGACAAGGGGTCTTCAAGGATCTTCCACCCCAAGCTCACTTACATGTGCAATATAAGTTCAAAAAGCATTTATATCAATATAAGTTTCAAAACTATGCAGTGCAACAGATATTCATGTCATGTATGTTTATCACTATTCTACTGGTCAAAGAAATGCAGGAATACGTCTATACCTACATGTAGTACAAGGAACACCGCTTGCACCTCACCCACAACCTCACCATCTTGTATGTACCACATACTCAGGCTTACCGTATAGGTGGAACACCACATGCATATCATAAAGGACTAGCATATAACAGCTCAATAGCATTTCCAAAACTTCAAAAGCATGTAACACAGCATGCATATAACCATACCCCCATGGGACATGGTGGAACCACAACATGGCTAAACCGAGGACACGAAAGCTTACCTTGCAAGTTCACTATCCAATCCCAAGAGTCCACACGGCTCAAGTCCAACACACAGCAGATCACAATCTGATGTGAACCAACAAGTATATCAACATACATAGCTCAAAAGCATTAACATAAAGACTATGTTCTCCTTTAACGATTTACGTCTTAAGGCTTCCAACAAAGCCACAATCACAAGATTTTGACTTAGTTCATTAATTACAGAAGTTCAACTTCATCAATCTAGGGTCCACAAACCCCCAATAGCCTACTGTACACACAGCACAGCTACTGTTCTTCGAAATCCCAGAATATCCGGATATTCCTCGGGACATATCCGGATATGCAATATCCGGACATCTCACTGACCATATCCGGATATTGCATATCCGGACATCTCACTGACCATATCCGGATATGCGATATCCGGACATCCAGATTCCCATATTCGGATATCAAATATCCGGATATTTCACGGGCAGATATCCGGATATTTCACGACAGAATGCAGAAACTGCATTTCGTGAAGATATCCTTCCAAGGTTGGATTTTTACCGATTATAAACACTTAAACATGCATTTCTAGGTGTGTTTGACATTACCCAACGTTAAGTTATCATCTTTTAACCTTTACATGCATCAAGGTTCCATTTTTAAGCATAAAAACTCATGATCATGGGTTCAACCACTTACCCAAGCTTCAAACAGAAAAAAGAGATGCTCTTGGAGCTCACTACCAACACCAAAGGTTCTGACTTCACCAAGAAAACGAAAATGATGCACAAGGTAGCTCTTTTACTCGACAAGGAAGCTCCTTGAAGCTTCAAAACACCAAATGAAGGCTCTCTCCTCCCCAAAACCAGAAAACAGCAAGCTCAAGCTCACAAGACAGAAGCCAAACTCAGAAAAACAACCTATTTTTCCTTCCTAAGGCTAGAATGCACTCAAAGAGTTTTCATGAAGAACCCAAGAGGAAATGAGTGCTCTTGGTGATTCAAATGGTAGGAGAAGGAGGTGACAAGGTGGCTGGTGTTTCACTCTCGGCAACTCGCGTAGAAGAGAAAGGAGTCTAGGGTTTTGTGCACAATGATTAGTGTATATATAGTCAAATCACACTTAAACACATAGTATTAACTTTAATTGCTGCGCTTAGCATTTTAATCCCAAACTTAAGATTCTTAACCTACTCAATTTTACAAGAATTATCATATTTTTATTATATTTTTCGGAGCACCTTTCCGGTACGCGCTTTTCATAGCCAGTATCAGTTTCTGGCACCAGTTCTCATTATTTGGACTTGAAACTCATTTTACAAGTCCTATATAGCATTCTAGTAATTATCATGCACTTACATTAATTTTTTGGGATACTTTTTTGGTACGCAATTATACTGAATAGCAGAATCGGTATCTGCACTTTTCTTCCGAAAAACGACTAACAACATTCTAAATCACTTACTATAATTATTAGAGTCTCATAATAATTATTAGGGTCAATTATGGAATCATTTCTTAATTTTGCATAATTAATTAATTAAATACCTTATTTAACGGTGCGGGTTCTTACACTGTGCATGTATTAGACTGCACAGTTTGGGATAGCTTATAAGAATTAATTGGTGCTACCTATACTAACAAGATGCATCTGCTTTTCGGTAGCCCGGAACAGAAGAACTCCATAGTTAAGCGTGCTTGACTTGAAGCAATTCTGAGATGATGGGTGATCTCCTGAGAAATTTTTTAAAGAAGTGTGCAAGTGAGGAAAAAGCACACTAAAAAGTCTCGTGTTAGTATGTGGAGATAGTCATTGATTCTTGAAGCGGTCAGGCGTTACATTTACTGCATTAATTGATGAAGATTCCTGATACAATTTTTTATGTACTAAATAAATATTTTAAATTATATATAATTTTATCCTCTTTTATAAAAT